TAAATTTTTTTTTTTTTTTTTTTTTTTTTTTTTTTACAAAGTTTACCTTTCGCGGAAAGCTGCCATTGATTTTAATATGGAGATACAACGGCCATTCGAAAAGTACTATGGACAGGCAAATTTTTCGACGTTGATTATATTTCTATGTATATCGAATAAAATTTCGTCGAAATACAGCTAAAATAGAAATATATATATTATCTAGTGCAGTTCTTGTAAAAAAAGGCTGATAAAAAAATTTTTTAAATTGACAAGAATTCATTTTATGGGTGTTACGATTTCGTGGGATTCGAAATCAGACATCGATTTGAAAATAATCAAATTCTTTTTTGTGCTTTTTTTAATTCTAAAATTTTATGTTCAAGTCATTCTGAAGATCTAGTCGTTCTGAACGATTTTAAATAACTATTAAATAAAAATTAAAATGCCATGTTAAATTTTATTGCATATTACTTAATTTTATTACTTTATACCAGAAAAAGAAATGAAAAAGATTGTATTTCGAATCCAATTATAATTATTATAAAGAATGCGAAGTACTAAAAACAGAATGGAAAAAAAAACGAGTAACATACATAAATTCTAACACTTTTAACAGATTGCTGATTTTAGAAAATAAAAAATTCGATGTTGCAAACTGAATTCGCGTCAATTTTTTTTTTTAATCTATCGATCTTTTGAAGAGATGTAATAATAAAGACTTTTAACAGAGACTTTTCGATTCTCAATCACATAATATTTCTTTCTTTCTTAAAATATAAAATTTTTGCTTGGGAATTACCTTTTTCATATATTTGATATGATTATTCACTAAATAGTGACTTAATTGCAGAGATTAAAAGAATTAGATATAACAATAATTTATTAAATAATAAATAACGTAAATTATTTTAAAATTATAATAACAATTTATTATATATTTACGTAATTATATTAACTATGTATGATGGAAATTAAAAATTTATAATTATAAATAAGAATAATTAAGGGAATTAGATCTTAAATTGTTTAGCGTTATTCTTGCAAAAAAAATTCAATTTCTATTTACAAATATTAAGAAATATATATGAAATACTGTATTAATTAAAAATTAACTGAAAAAATAATTCTTCCTTCTAAGTATATGTGTCTCTATAAAATAGAAATATAATAAAAATAATGCAAACTGTCAAAATTTTACAATAAATACCTAATCGCATGTGAATTTACTATTTTGTGATAGAGAAATAAATCGATCATTTTAATGTTAGATAAAGTTTATTCAGTTTGACTATGTTATTTGAAAAATTGGATGATAAAAATATTTAATTATCATCCTGGGTCTTCCGTAAATTAATAAAAGCGGAATTCTAAAATCTCGGTGAATGATATTTGTATAAAAAGCATATTACTTCTCTTTTTTATAGGACCAAGAAAATTTATATACACGTGTTGCGGGAATGCTTCCTTTCCAAATTATTCTCTCTATACTGAGACAATTATTAATAGCGTAATATACAAGCTGTTCCAAATTCACTGCACATCTCTTTTTCTTTCATTTTATGAAAAACATGTAAATACAAAAAGATCAGTTTTTTTTTAACTGATTTTTCTGTTATTAGTCACACAGTCTGAAAAGTTTACGAACTTTTCTTCTTGATAAATAAAAATGTCAAGGTATAAGATTGAAAATAAAAAAGATTAAAAAGGCAGATGATATTTCTATTCAATTTTCGTTCGAGGAAAAAACTAAACCGACATTTTTCAAAAAATATATCGTTGAAGGAATATCATTAAAGGAAATAACAGTGAACTTGGGATAGTCTGTACAACATATATTTGTAAACAATATATAAATGAATTCGGGTACATTTCACAAATAATTTGTTCATGGAAGGGATTAAGATATTTTTCTGATCTGATCGAACGATCGATCGCGTGTTAATTGACGCCCTTTACCATTCATACCTTCATTACATAATCGTATCCATTTCAATTTCTCATTATATTGCTTAATGTTGATCAGTTCTCCTTAATTAAAATATGCGAAATTATTCTCGACAGAAAACTGACTTAACTCTTTACACTCGAATAAGAGAGAGAGAGAGAGAGAGAGAGAGAGAGAGAGAGAGAGAGAGAGAGAGATGACAAGTTGAAAAAATATATCACAAGAGTGGATAATTATTTCATCTAATCTTGTGATTTATTTATACATATAATAATATTATACATATGTAATAACAAAATTATATAATTATCATATAAATTCCTTTCACGAAATAATTTCTGTTCTTTTTTTTTTAATTAGCCACAGAAGAGAAAAAAGTAGCTTATTTTTTATTAACTAAATTTTATTTTTCAAATTTCTTTTTACAGAATCTTCCTTCAATCGTGGAAAGGATAATGACGTGTAAAACAGAATTGCCGTGTGCAAAGAGTTAAACCTACAACATTAACAGTATCTTCAACTGTGACTGCTTTTTTTCTCTCGGAATCATTCGCTGTATTATTCAATCGATGTTTAACGGTAAAGAGTGTCCGCATGATTGTTATCACACAAGAAAAACATTCTAATTGTTGCGCTCGAGACTATAAGCCGTGTCATTCTTGCGTTTTCTCTTTTAGGACTACGGCCCTTCCTGGGGTATTTTTAATTACGTGTAGAAAATGCGAGAGGTGTTCGAGAAATAATACGAAATACGCTTCGCGGGTTTCGGAAAAACGATTGCGCTGAAGTGTCGGAAGAAAAGTAACAGGACAGAAGGAATCACTACAGCACTTCGCGTAGCTCTCAGGAACAATCATACTTTATTCTATGAGCAGCATGACAATTACGCTTCTCGGTTTCTTCGAGTTATGCGTATATATAAATATATACTAAA